CTACAAGCCAGAATGTATCTTTCCACCAACTCCTTCCAGCATGTTTTTACCTCTAAAAACACAGACGGAAAGATAATTATTATTTCCGTGTTTCACATATCCCGCTAAGCTGTGACTTCTTTGGTGGAAAAGCTATGAGTTTTATTCCTCTTTCCATCTACTGCAGTACCTAAAGTAGTGCTCAGGATACTGTCAGCAACTCAAATAGCTCTTGACAAGCTGCAGAAGAATAAAAAACACGAATTCCAAAGGAATCAATATTCCAGCATTTTTAGTAAGGGACTACTCAAAGTCTAATCAGATTCAAACACCTACTGGATGCTTTCTCACGCTTTCTTCCATTAAATCTGGGGTATTAACGATGATTGTACTATGTACTGATGGCTTAGCACACTATCAAAAGCTTAAAACCAGTTTGTTTCAAAACTGAAGTTAAGGTCATTCGAAAAGTAAGAACAAAAATTAGTAATCCCATTGGATAAAACATAATTGCACTTGGCGGGGTGGGGTGGGGTGGGATTACACATGTTAGGTAGAAAAGCACATCCCCTTAAAAAAATAGAGTAAACTGGTATTCTATAAAACATTAGTCTTCATTGAAAATTTCATTCAACTGTACTGTTCATTTTAAAAGAATATTAGTATTCACAGTGGGCTATCCCAAAGCCGGGCAGAATATACTGATATATATAAGAAAGAAACAAACAAAAAAGCTATATATATAAAATTTTTTGGAAGTAAACAAAACCACTAGTTTTTAATGTGGATGGACGTATATCTCCTAATGGTTCTTCAGAAATTTTAATCTGCCTTACATTCAGACTCAAGGACAGTTGATATTTATAATTTATAATTACTTTATAATAATTAATTTAGTTAATTTATAATTTTGCTATAATACTAGCTTCTCTATGAATAAGAGCTCTTATAAGTAATAAATGATTTTCATGAAAGAACTGTGAACATCTAGGTGATCCTCTACCATGTAATGATACAATATTTCCAGTTTCCTATCTACTCCAGTTAGGAAAATCTTCATTAACAGAGTTATCTATAATAAGATTCTTAATAGAAGGTCACATTTCTTAGTGTGATACTCATTCCCTCATTCATTCACTCACACATTTAATACTTGAGACTTAACAGGAAGTGGGATGTCTGTTAAAACTGGGGAGCACTGAACAACAATACATGAAAAAAGACAAAATCTCTAGTCTTCCTGTAAAAGTTAAGATGGGAAGATGAGATCCCAGGGGTAGATTATACACCATGGAATTAAAATTCAGGCTTCCTCAGCAATTCAGTAGTCTGTAACTGGTCATCACTTTCCAATTAGACTCTCTGTTGGTACAATTAGAAAACATGATATTAAACAGGAAAAAAATATTTTGCTACTTAAATGATTTGCTCAAAATATAAGGACTTTCTCTTTTAAGAAAACAGACTCAAATGTAATATACCAATGACTCAGAACGAATAAAAAATGCCGTGGGTAATATCCTACACCAAGCAGGAAGCGTGCTGATTTAGGGTAGGGCTCAGTCACTTGAACTGATGGCGTTAACAGGAAGGCGCTCTGAATCTCCTGTTTTTGCCCAGGTCTGTAACGTAACATGAAAATCTGCAGCCCTACTCCGACAGTATTTCCCTGCAATAAAAGGAGCTTTATGAGAAGCTGGAAGCCTTGAATTCGAGCACTGCCATTCACCACCATGCCCTTTACTACCACTTCCATTCAATTTTTTAGGGTCTCAGTTTCCCAACCTATAAATTGGCCTCCTAGGCTTCACCTGCCTCACTGGGTTATTTTCAGGCCATAAAAAAACCACACAAATGCTAACTGTTCTCCCTCAGAATGACCCAACTTCAGATTCCATTCAGATTTCATTCAGATTCCATGAGGAAATGAAAATGACACAATGTGAGTAAACGTCTCTACACTGTCTAATTTGGGAGGAAGAAAAATAGCTCAATTCTATTGAACAGACTTAATTTGGAATCTAGGCTCTAGGGTCAGCTTTATGTATAATAATTACAGGCCCATGGCCAAGTCACTTATCCTCTCTGAAACTCAAGTCTTTATAATACCTATCCTCCTATCAATTTGTTCGTTTTGTTGTGATGGTAAGAAACAGTACAACATAGAACTATTTTAAAAGACTTACTTAGCCAGGGAGAATAACAAAGTCAGTACAACAAAAATTGTTATCACGTTTCTTTCTAACTACTGAGGCATTGCACAAAATCTACATATCATACTCTAAAAATCACCCCACAAAAATTCCCACAGTATGCCTTAAGAGTAGATACTATTAAAGTGTATGTTACTGAAATCACATGGCTTATGTGTCCCCTGCTATTAGCTATACCTTTTTATAGAAAGAAAAACAATTTAAAACTGAGTATTGATCTCGGGAAAGTAATAGTACATACATAGTATGCTCCACTCCCAAAGGAATCGGATTTTTCCCCCAATTTCTAATTTTAAAAGGAAAAAAATTAAAAATACAAACCAAGACTGACTGAGACTTGCAGCTCATTAAAGCTGAGGTGATTTCCCCTATATAGGATTCTATTGATCTCCATAGTCCACACAAGACAAAAAGTGTGGTCAGGGAGGGGGATGATGGATGCCTCTGCCAATAGCACTGAACAAACCTGTTAGCTAATTGCTACCAAAGACAATTATCCCCGCATTGTTTCATAATGGAAACACATTACAAAACTCTAATATACACACAGGGAAATTTGATGATTTGACTGCGGAGCCATGTGCATTGAATTTCATTGCCAAAGGCCAGCCAGGTC